CAGCCACGGCACTGCACCATTCTGGAGTCTGAATATTTTAAATCCTTTCCCAGAAAGCTCTTTGCTCATCGTGGGAAGGTCTCTGCCATGGGCACATGTGTTAGATACACATACATCTGAAACGAAATTGTTGTCAAGATTTGTTTATGAGAGTTTGCTTGGCAGTATGTTTGTGCAGCATACACGTGCCTGGTGTCTGAGGAGGCCATGAGAGTGTGTCCTTAGACATGGAGTTACAGATATCTGTGAGCCACCATGCTGATGTTGCCAACAGAATCCAGGGCCTCTGTAAAGAGCAACAGGTGCTCCTAACCAATGAGTCCTTTCTCTAGCATTCAAAGCTATTGCTAAATCATAATGCAATCATTAGGCGATTACTGAAATAATTCCGTTGTCATCCTCAGAATTAAGTATGAACTTTTGTAATTATATACAGATATCCCTTAAAGGTATTTTTGTGTTAAAAATTTTGTTATCCCTTAAAGATATTTTTGTGTTAAAAATTTTGTGAAGACTGTATTTTCTAGAAATAGTGCCTGAACGCATACATACAGTAGACTGCCAAGCCTGAGTAGTGAGTGACGCACTCAGCTCCATAGCTTTTGAGAAGATACTTCCAACTGCCCTGTGTTGGGTTAACCTCTGTGTACTCTTTCAGTCTGCTTAACATTGGAATTATCTCTTTACAGCCATGCTCTGTGAGAGAGACTGCCACATTGAACTTTATATGCCCAGTTTAGTGATAAGTAGTTTAAATAAAGGCATTTATCAAAATTAAACATATTACTAAATGAATAAACATGACTATTATAACCTTTATCTTACTCTGGTGTACTTTCAGATTTATTATTCAGTACAAAGGGTCTCTCTCTCTCTCTCTCTCTCTGTGTGTGTGTGTGTGTGTGTGTGTGTTTGTGTGTGTGTGGCACACAGACAGGCTTTTGCTCTGTCTCTCTGGCTGCCTTCTAACTGAATTCTTAAGCTCAAGTGCTCTTCCTCCCTTGGCCTCTCAAGTGCTTGGGACTGCTGGGGATGTAGCTCAGTGGCAGAGCGCTTGCTTAACATGTCTGCAGGACTGCATCTAAGATAGTAGACTGAAGGTAAGCTGCTGTTAGCTGCTCAGTCATCTGTGATCGTCTTTCGAAACTACTGCACTAGACTGTGAATTCATGGAGGATAGAAGCCATGGGATTCAAGTTCATTTCCTGGACTGTTTGGAGTTTCTGCCAGGGCGCAGCACCACGAGTGCTTTCATGCTTTCAGAGTCGTAGGATCTCCACGAATGGGGCAGCAGCAGGAGAGCACAGAGGAGGCTCAGAGAGGGTTCAGAATTGATGAAGCACAAGTCAGAGGCCTTGGACTAGATTAAGGACTCACTGCAATGAACACTTGCAAGTAAAACTGTGTGGGCGGGGCAGTATACTGTGTGACACACCACAGCTCCTAATGCCACGGCAAAGAAAACATATGTGAGGCAGAGGTAGGGAAGGAGGAGGAGAGAAGGGGCACACACGTGACACCGGGGCTGAAGACAGCTGTGACAGCTGTGAGGGAATGCTGCGGTTGATAGAGGAACAGGGCACTGCCCAGAGGGGTTGGCAAGACTTTTCTAATCTTAAATTTTTAATTTTTGTATTACTATTTCCTGTAGAACGGTTACAAGGGTGGAGAGCAGACATGGAAAGACTGGGAAATGAGTGGGATCAGGGTACATGATATGAAATTCCGAAAGAATCAATAAAATTATATTTTAAAAAACAAGGCCAAGGATACGTACATTTAAGGAGATCTATAGTTGTACCTAACTGTGATTCTTTTAAAACAATGAACAAGTGATAGAAATGATAGACTCTTTACATGCTGTATGGGACCTGGGTAACAGTTTTTCTTTTCGTCCCCAGCTATTGACTCCTAAAATTAACGACATCTGTTTGAAATGAGTAACAAGGGGCCTTAGGAGACCCCTTCCCACTCTCTGTATAAAGGTCTCAGGACAAGAATGGGCTAATGCTGACCTCTTAGTGTCTTACAGTCTTAAAACAACATTTGAAATATTGCTACCTGGGCATTCTTGCTAATTAAAATCACATATACTTGTTTGCTTTGACAAAATAAGTATATTTTGCTATTGTGTATATGAGATATAATTATATATGATCTGTTTGTAATAACTAGCCCTGTTTCCTAATTTCATAAGAGACTTAAAAATTTCATTGCCAAGGCTATAGACTTATTCTGTTAAACAAAAGAGTCAAAATTTTGCTTTAGAGGTAACTTCCTTATGTCTCTGTGCCATGATACTAATTGCTGTTGGCTCTATGGGGTTCTTCTTAAGCTATGCAAGTCTTTGTAAGTCTGTATGAAATTTCTGAAACACATGTACTGTTGTTGTGTTTTTATAAAACACAATTTCTGTTAAATAGTATTGTATTTATAAAGCTTGTGACCCAGCTGTCTGCTGGCATTCCACAGAGGTACAACTTCTGACAAAGGCATCTGAACAAGATTTGTGAGGTGAAGCCTCTGGCTGTGTGCAGCATGGTGAGTACTTTCGTGCCACCAACAGGGATGGGCAATAAAACAAGCCCCAAAATCTCCAAAGGAAATCACCTGGCACCATCCAGTCTATCCTGAAAGCTTTAACTGGTGTGTTAGTCGCAGGAGAAGCAGAATGGACTTCAGGTAGGTCTGATCTGAAATCTACTCCTACCCCAGCTTGAGCCTAGGTTCTTTTGGCGCTGACTTCTTGACATCTGTTCCTTCCTCCCCTCTTCCCCCTAGGAGGGATCAGATCATACCAACCAGGATGAATGTTCTCCTAGCATCCTGGGACAATGGAGAACAGACCACCAGATGGTTAATCAGTGATGCCTTCAGAGAACATTGCTCAGAGATAAGTTGTCGGAACTAAAAGAAAGTCATATTGGGTATGGAGTAGGTACCTGCAATCCCAACACATGGGAAGCTGAAATAGGATTTTAAGTTTGAGACCAGGGTAGGCTTTATGACTCCAACCCTGTCTCAAACCAACAAGACGGAGTTACCTGTGCCAGTCCTTCCAAAAGTAAAAGCTAAGGGGTTATGAAAAACACTTCTTGTGCCCAGCTATCTGGCACTAAATGTGCTCTAACCTTAGGCTCTACTTGAATTTTATTATAATCGTTTCAGACACATTCCACCTCAAGACTGAGATTTTAAAACAAAAAGTGGGGGAACTTTTATAGACTTTGAAGAAACGAAGCTATTCTAAAGAGACACTTGTGTTTCTCAGACTACTGAAACAATGGACCCAATAGAATTAGGAATTTCCCTAGAAATCTGACGCTGGAGAGGGAAAAAAAGAGGCCAGTCAGAAAGGGAACGAATCTTCTAGAAAGACATTTCACAGAATTTTAACAATGTATCAGACCAAGTTACAGGATGAGACTGAAGCCCAGATAATGATGGGCCAATAGCGGTTGAGATCACACCTTGACCAGGACACTGGCCCTCTAAACTTGAACCTCATTTCAGGACACTGACGACTGACTGGCGGTTCACTGGGTCTCTTTGTCTCTCTTCCCAATGTGGTAACGTTGAACACACCTCCTTCTTTTGTTCTACATTATTAAAGCTTCTTGTTTGGCTTGAGGACAAGTGGTGCAACCTGGCTTGGAGAACCCAATCAAGTCCAATAATAGTATGTTGCCTATGTTCTGATAAACACCACCCCCCACACCTCCCAACACACTCATGAAAGCAACCATAATTATACTCAGTGAGTTAAAAAAAAAGACATCAGAGTAGGAGAAGGCTTGTTGGGGATATGGATTTCACAGATGAGAGGGTAATAGGGTTATGTATGTAAAAATGCCCCAGACAAACAAGAAATTGTCAAATAAAAATATTTCGTTTAGAAAAGGAGAAACCCTCATACCCCAGTCGTTTGTAGTTTTCAACTTTTTTTTATCGTTTTAAATTATGTGTATGTGCGTGTGTCTGCATGTGGGTATGTGCACGCGAGTGCAGGTGCTAAATGAGGCCAGAGATTGGTACTACTGGCAGGTGGTTGTGAACTGCTCCATGTAGGGTACTGGGACCTGAACTCGCCTTTTTTTGGAAGATCAGTACTTGCTTTTAAACCACTAAAGCCTTCTCTCTAGGCCAGGTTTGTAGTGTTTGAATGACAGCCAAACCCTGGTGTTAAGTATGAAGTGATTACCAGAATCTTGTTATTTCAAAAACTGTACGTGAAGCGCACAGCCCCACGAAATCTTCACACACCGGGGTAACCACCACTGGATCGAGAAAAATCAGGTTCCCAGCTAGCACACCAAGTTCCCTGGCACCCTAGCCCCTCCGCGCACGCCCCACCCTCCAAGGCCATAGTACTGAAACTTCTCTCCCTGTCCCTACATCTTGCACGGGATTGTTTGGAAGAGGTACCGACTAGGCGGACAATCTGGTGGAGTGGATGAGACCCCGGCTCCTATGGGCCCTTCTGGAGGTCTACACAGCGATGGCTCCGCGTTCTGAGGAGCCAGGCTGGAAGTTCTCTGGCAGGATCCTCACACCCAGCGATGGCCGTGGGTAGCCAGACCCACCTGGGGCGCGCCAGGGTCCACGATGGCAGGACCCAAGCACGCCGCAAGGGCTGCTGGGCGGGTTCTCGCGCCCGCTGCCGACCCCGCACCTTTCGCGCGGGCCGGGCTCCCGTGCCTGGGTAGTCGGGCGTGGCACAGGGCGCGACCCTCCGGCTCGCGGGTGGCCGGGGGCGGCGCTGCTGAGCCGGGATGTGCGGCGCGCTCCCATTGGCTGCGCTTCCCCCCCACCACACGGCCCAGCCGCCCACCCACCGGCCTCTCTCCGTTCCCCCATTGGCCGTCAGGCCCCGGGCGGGGGGGGGGGGAGAACCTGGTTTGGGGGTGGGAGGCTGAAGAAGAGTGGAAGGTGAGCGGTTCTCCCGGGAAGGGTGTGCGCGAGAGCCAATCAGGAGCAGACGTGGAAAAGAGGCGCCACGCCAGCCAATCAAACCCCGAGGCGCGGTCGGGACCCGCTGACGCCAGAGCGGCCGCAGCCAATGGGCGCGCCGCTGTCTGTCCGCTCTTCGGCGGCCGGTCGGGGGCGGTGAAAAGCGAGTGAGGAGAGCGCGACGGCGGCGTAGCCATCGCTGAGGGGAGAGCGAGGCCCGAGCTTCCGCATCGAGGTGAGAAGCACGGGCTCTGTCGCAGGCTCGGCCGCGGCCCCTCCGCGCCCGGCCGCCGTTTTGCGGGCGTCCCCGGCCGGGCTGCGCTGAGGTGGGGCCTGCGAGCCGCCCCGCCCCCGCCCCGCTGCGGGCGCCTGGAGGCGGGGGCGCCGCCTCTGCCGGGACGGTCCCTGCGCGGCGTGGCCGGGCCGCCGCCCTCCCGACGGCCGGGGCAGCGGCGAGGGAGCGAAGAGGGCCCTGGCCTGCAGCCCCGGGAGGCGGGGGCGCCGCCCGCGTGGGGCAGGGGGGAGGCCGCGCAGAGGCGGCCACGGTGGGGCGCGGAGTTAACGGAGGAGGGTGGCGGCCTGAGATTCAGAGATTCCGGGTTGAGGAGGAAGAAAGTGATGCTCGGGAGAGGGAGTCCTGTGAGAGGCCCCTGGTCCGGAGTGGGATTGGCCCCTGGGAAGTAGGCATCGATGGGGTTGAGGGGAAATCGGCTGAGAGATGGAGATCTGGTTTGGGGTTTGAAGGTTAAGGTCTCTGGACCAATGGGGACAGGGCATGTGGAGTGTAAGAAGGCACACAGAAACCGGAAAGTGGCCGAGGGGTGAGAGATTTTAGGGTAGGGATGAATGGAGGATGTTTGGATAGAAGGTGTTATTTGGCTTCTTGGAAAGTACACAGGGTGCAGTCAAGGTGGCTTTCTGTGTGCTTGCTCAAGGGTGGGGATCTTTTGTGAAAAGTGGAGTCAGAACTGAGTTGAGGGAGCAAGTGCCTTAACATGACTGTCCTTCCACGCAGTACCTAGGAAAGGCGGAACACAGTTTTGCTACCGGGTCTGATCTTTGTCCTGTCTCCCTGAGGATCCATCCTAGTGTTTTGCCACAGCTCACACAAACTTACCTATCTCAGAAGTAATGGGTATTAAGTATTATTTGTTTTTGATTGGGGCATTGTTTAATTCTTTATATGAAAAAAGGAAAATGTTAAGAGCAACATTTGAAGATTCAGTTATCTTGTTGGGTATGTGTAATATCGCATAAAATGGTGCAAGGTCTCTTACAGAAACAAAAATGAGGATTAATGCATATAGTTTGCAGTCTTGAATGAGCAATCTTTAATGTAGTGGGACTTGTATTATGTTTGTTGGGTAGTTTCAATTTTGAGAAGTTTTGTAGTTAAATAAACAATAAATTCCTTTCATTTGAGAAAGACGTTAGTGTATGTAAGTTAGTGTAACCGCCTTCCTCCTTGAAGCTTTTATGGCTTTTGTTTGTACATGGCAGGCAGAGTTAGGAGGCAGAGAAGAGGGGACCACATTTCCAGTGGATTTAAATGGGAGGGATAATGTCTACTTGAGGGCAGGAAAAAGGCCTTTGAGGAGTTACCATGTCAAGAGCAGAATTCAAGAGAGGAGTTATATAGATGTTTCCTTGTTCACCAGATTAGTATAGAATTTTAGCTACTGGATCATTCTTCAGGACGTGGAAGGTGTTTGTGGGTAACAACTCACTGTAGTCATGTTTTATCCTTATTGGAACCTAGTGCCCAAGTGTGCAGTGACCTGTAAGCAGAGAAGCAGTTCAGGTCAGGTTAAGCAAGGCAAGTTTCTTGAGAAAGGTGAATTTTGATCATTTGCACAAGGAGTTGTTTTATGGGTTATTAGACACAAGGGTGATTACAATCCAGTAGTTTGGATGAAGCGTAAGCAACTGTGGACCAAAAAACCCCCACACAAATGAAAATGGTTTCTAAGGCAAATTACAGATAAACCTAAATGAAGGATTAGGTACATGGTCATCAGCTAAGCCTCCTCTTAAAGCTTGGTTGATAAGTAGTGATTCCATATGATGGTTTGGAAGGAAACAGAACAGTTGGACTGAAGATGAACAGTAATGTACAGTGCCCCAAAATATTTTTTGATAGCTAGAAATAGCAAAATTTATTAGTTGCTCCTTGGTGCCAGAAACTGTTTTGAGCTTTCCAAGTGTCATCTTTGGATTGTAGGTGAGGGAGAGGTTCAGACAGATTTATCTTGCCTATCACAAGTCACACCAGCTATTATTACATGGCAAGTCAGGATTGACAGAATCAGTTAGTAAACATTAGTTGAGCATTTGCTTGATGCCAGGCACTGGTAAATGCTGGAGATTCTTAACTTACCAGAAAAGCCAAAGGTCAGATCTGAACCTCTTATAGAAGAAACTTGTTATAAAAGAAGTCAATAAAGAAGGAAAAAGATTGCTCGGAGAGATTTTGTAGATACTGAGGACTATGCTGTTTAGAGACGCTTAGAGTTGACTTTTTAGAAAGAAGACTCAGAAGAACAATGACTAAAAAGAAACCACCAAGGAAAATAAGGAAAAAAGAAATGTGAATGTGATCTCAAGATTGCTGAATTGAATTGTGATTTGGGCCAACAGTCATGCTTAGTGGCGGGTACTTAATTTAAATATTTAGTGTGGTTACAGCTAACATCACTTTCAGGGGAAAAATCATAGCAGAACCCCTTATAATGCTTTATTCTTTGACTTAAAAGAACTGAGTGTCTTAAAAATGCTTGTACTTTTTCCAAATAAAAATGAGTATTGTTATATTTATCATTAAGGGATAACAACCATTTAATAGAAACAGGGCAATAGGGAATATGTAGGTCTAAGCTTGGAGTGAAAGCAGAGATGATCTTATTTGATAATCTGTTCCATGTGAGCTATTTTGGAAGACCTGTTCTCATGTTGGAAATTATAGTGGTATATTATTTGTGTTTTAATAAATAAAGCTTGCCTGAAGGTCAGGGCAAGGCAGTCACACTAGTCAGCCATATAGGCCAGGCAGTGGTGGCACACACCTTTAATCCCAACAGCCATACTAGTTAGCCATAGATGCTGGACAGTGGTGATGCATGCCTTTAATTCCAGCACTAGAGAGGAATATAAGGCAGGATGAGACAGAAACTTGCTCTTTTTCAGTCTGAAAATTTCATAGAGGTAAGAGCTCTTTAGTGGCTTGGCTGCTTTGCTTTTCTGATCTTCAGGTCGAACCCCAATATCTGTCTCTGGGTTTTATTATTCGTGCTACAGAAAATGACTGATTTGTTGTGAATTGAAATAGTATGTCCTAAAAGATGGCATTTACTGAAGCCATAGGACTAGGTTATTAAAGCACCTTAAGTGGTAGAGATAGGGTCCTGACTTTCCTGAACATTTATTTTCTTAGAGTTTAAGAAAAGAACTTCTTCTGCTGTTCTTCTGGAAGAGGCAAACAGGTCTCTGCCCTGCCCCTCCTTTCTTCTAACCCTTTCCCCTTCTCTCAATAGACTCCTCACCTAAGCTCTTTCTAAAAACAAAACAATGAACCACTCATAGAAGGGTCATGTTAACTGTTTCTTCCATCCTTCCTTCCCACACATGGTTCCCTTGTTCCTCTCTTTGGTGGGTTTGATACAGACTTACAAGTTTCACTTCAATAAACTGTATAAAAATGCTACATTTATGTTTAACTCATCTACTTAAACAGTTAAAAATTCACTATTGGTACTTGGGAGATGGCTCACTCAGTAGTGTTTTCTGTGCAAGCATGAAGATCTTAGTTTGGATTTCCAGCACCCACAGAAGAAATGACATAACATGCCTGTAATCTTAGCACTAAGGAGGAGAGACAGGATTCCTGGGACTTGCTGGTTTACTAATCTAGTCAAATCAGAGACTTGTCTCAAAAATAAAGTGAGAAGCAATCAAGGAAAATATCTAATGTCAACCTCTGGCTTCCACATGCAGAAGCACACACATGTATAACTCTCACATGCACACACCACACACACACACACACACACACACATCACTCTTGTATTCCCAATTCAAAGAAAACATATTAAGAAAATAGCTCTGTTTATCAAGTAACTATTCCCAAACAAACTAGGAGGATTTCCCCAAGGGTCAGTGCAGATTGAGTCCAATCTCATAAATGAAGAGGGAGCAATAACTTCCATTCGGACTATAGAAATTGTGGAATAAGTGTAATGCGATTTCTCTTTCACTTAGACACTGTATTATGTTCCTTAATTAAATCATCACAACTACTTTCTTTTTTATGTATGTGCTGCCTTTTATAAATGAGGAGACTGAGGCTCAGAGAACTTAAGTTAGAGAGCTAAGTGACAGAATTAGGACATAGTCCTTACTTTGGTGGGGCATAATGTCATGTGTCTGTAATTGCAGCACTTGGGAGGCAGAGGCAGGAGGATTCTTGAGTTTGAGGCCAGCCTGGATTGCATAGCATGATCTTATCTGAGAAAAACAAACAAGCAAAAAATTTCCCAAACCTATGTTTTGTTTCTGAAATTCAGACAGATAAGGACTTATTTATATATTAATAGCGCTAATTGAAAAAAGTGTCATATAGCCTCCAGTATTTAATAGCTACTTGATACTTTAGAAGATGGGTCTCAGTCCTCTCCTCCACTTTCTTTAAGATAGGATCTAATTCCAAGTCCTGGTTGTCTTGGAATTCTCTAGATAGACCAGACTAGTCTTGATGCACAGTGATAGTCTACTTTTGCCTCCTGAGTGCTGAGACTAAAGATATATGCCACCATACTAAACTCCTGCTGCAGATGTTTGTGTGCTGTGACCCTACCTCTAAATAAATAGTAGTGAGTTTGTTTCTTACAGGATCTGTTAGATTATATTTTCCTATTTTAGAGATGCATGTTTCAGCATTTCAGTATTTTTGAAAAGACAATATATTTGATAGTATATCTTTAAAATGTTAGGAGTGGATACTGTATCTTAAAGCCAAATTTCCCTGAGAATTGAGGAAGTATGGTAGATGCATTAGATGCATGTAGTTTTTAATGTGTAATGGTTTTAGAATTTGCATTTTCTTCCTAGCCTTTCCTTATCATTTATTTACTTACCTTTAAATTATTGCTCATTTTCTTTAGTTAATATGATACAGAAATGTGTCATAATGCAGAAAATTGAAATGAGCAGGTTTGAGTTTTAATTTTGTCGTTGTTAGCG